ACTATATTATATACATGTCTTCACCATATAATTCATAGCAATTTACATGGGGTTCCTAGGGTTGTCTGACAATGAGGTGCTTGAAAATCAAATGGCCAGTTTTGGGCATCCAGCAGTGGCCAAACCCACATAGTGCCTGCGCCGAATTCACCCTGAAGCATCAGGAATTTCACCGCGCCGCCATCGCTCACCTCGGCCTTCAAAGACAAGGACGAGGCGCAAGGGAACTCCAAGTCCCGTGCTTCAAACATTCACCTAAATGCTGGAGGTTTAGTTTTGATATTTTAGCGTATCAGGCTAATACCAGGTTGCTAGTTTTCCTTATCCCTTGGCCTCCAGTTCCGCCTTTGTTTGCTGTCTCCATGGTCAACAGCTCGCCGATGTTCGGCCAGGATCAAGAGGAATGGTTTTGGCCGTGGATCCGAACGGTTCGCTCCTCAATGTTCTTGTTGTTTCGAAATCAAAAACCGGTCAATTCTTCCGCATTCTTCCTGTCCTGAGACCGCCTCCTGGTACTTCGGTTGCTGTTGATACACGTGCTGATCTCAATCTTCCAGAGGAATTCTGGTGGTCTTTCCATGGGCTTTTCGATTGGCCAGAAAAAATCTATTGCAGTCAAGCACACAACGTATCAAAACACATTGGCTGTAAGCCTCTTGTGTCTGTTAGCTTCCAATTGGGCCCAACTGAGTGACATAGTAAGTAGTTGGCTGTGGTGGCTGCAACTGTTGGGTTTTGCCAAGGCCACCGAGACACATCTCCGGACTGTCTACCTTTGACCAGCACTGAAAAAAACGCGTGTCCCCTCTGTCAGTGATTTAGGTATGTTCATGTTTCATTTCAACGCTTGTTGGGTGCCTTCTTTGTCAATCACTAGCTGTGATTGTTTCAGATTTTTGCTTGGACCAACATAATATTTTTATATAATGTTCCAGCAACATGAGCTATATGATGCCATGTTACACACACAAGGTTTATTTGCCGTTGAAACAATGTGTCAAAACATGTAGAAATTTTGAGCTGAAATGGGAGCAAAAGTCCACGGCACGCACAGATATGCACAGCATAGGCACAGCGGGGGTACAACATGGGCCCGACATAACTACATGGCAATTGTGTTTTCCCTTTTCTGCACAGATTTTCTTACAAGTGGAAGACCCTTTGCTCTTTGGTGTTTAAGAAAAACAACACAATGTGATCCAGAGGAGCAAACAGATTGCAAGATCGCAAAGGTAGAGGTCGAAAAGAGCAAGTCCAAGGAGGTCGTATTGCATGTGCTTCCAGCATTTTCCTTCGTTTCGTGATGCACCGGTCTCCTGCGTCTGGAACATCGAAGCTGAAACATTTTGATTTGTATGGAAAGGTGGGCTGTTGGGGCGGAGGAGTGAACATGCCAAGTGTTTCTAATGGTTGGGCGAATTGGGGATGAAGTGGCAGGAATGTTGTGTGCATGAGACGTTGATAATCTCTGAAAGGAACACACCGAAATTCACTGTTTTGTTGTGGCATGGAAATTTGCCAAATATTTGCAGAGGTTGGAACCAAAACAACCTTGGGTTCCTGGATTCACTCTGCTTGCCGGCCGTTGGTTTCCGCAACCTCCCGTTCCCCGTGCTGCCAGGTTCATGACGACTATAGGATCAAAACGCAGAGTGGCGGCATCATCTCTTTGGTGTCGATGCTCATAATGGTACCTTGGTGATCCAGTAACAACCCAGTAACAACCCTGGGATGGAGCAACTCTTGGTGCTGAGAGTCTGATTGGGGTGCGTTTGAGCATAGATACTTGGAGATGTTTTTGTTGGACAATTCAACATGTTTGGCATGCTTTCACATATCAATTGCGCCTTAGCGATGTTTTCCTACAGTTTTCCATCCATACAATAGACTCTGACTCTAAGGCTTTGCTTTTCCTATCGGAATTGCAAAGTTATTTGAGAGCCGAGATTCTGGACAGTGAGGGGTTGGGTCTGGATCTGGGCTCAATGGCAACTGAGAAAGACGTGGAAACATCAAAAATGCAGGATCTGGCAACTCAGCCCAATGGAGCTGTTTTATACTCATGAGTGTGGAAATCCTGACTCTGACCAATGCACCCTTGATCTTTGTGTTCATTGGCACCCATCTGGCAACATCATTTGGCTTTGTTCCGGCTGCGTTCAGCCTTTCTGGGTCAGGACCACATCGTGGTCGACACCACTCTGAATCAGAAGCTTCCGACACTGGGTTGCCAGTTGGTTCCGACATATTGCGTTTCCAAGAACAATGGCTTCAATTGAAATACAGCAATGATTAAAGAATCAGAGAGGATTTAAGATGACTGGGTGTTTGTCAGCATTAGGCGATCCCCTCAAAGTTCCCAAGAGTTGGTCCACGTCAGCATTTCCCCTGGCTGGCGGCTCTGACATTTCCAAAGGATTGGACTCAATATCACTTTTCCTCACATCAGATGTGATGAGGTGGATGAGAGCTGTTTGTTGGTCGTTGCTGGGGTAAATGTTTGATTGGAAACAGAGGGATGCTACTTCAACAGCAAAAAAAGTACAATTTTGGATACTGCAATTGGGATGTGGTGCAATGACGTGCTTTGTCCGCTACTGATGAAATTAGCCCCAGAGATGGGTGAATGTGGAGAACCCTGAATTCAAGGGGCTTGTGCTTTCAATCGAGTGTGCGACCACCAAAACAAATCGAGATGAAGACTTTGACTGCCAGCCTCATGTCACCTAAAATTTAAAAACCAGACGGCACAACGTGACACCCCTGACAAGAATATGTTTATTTGAGATGTTCTCTGAGTTTTGGGCTGCACTTTTTTTGGGAGCAAAATAGGCAATCCCCTGTAGAGGTGATTCCTTTGGACACATAAATCATTCCGAGCTTCTCTGAGCAGGTGTCGGTGGATACAGTTGACTCCAAAGGCGAGAATCAGGCGCCAGTGGCTGTTCATTTCTTTCCAATTTCTCTGCTTCAGGTGGTCTAAACGTGTTTGTTTGGTGCTGCTACCATTTTGGGTCACTCCTGAAACATTGGGCAGTCCCCCCGGCTCCCAGCATTGGTTTCCCCGTGAAAAAGCGGCGAATCCCAAACCCCGTGAGGTGGACATTGCGGGCACCTTGACCAAAGTGAACCTGGATCTGGCTGGAGCTCCATCCAAAGGGGATCCAGTGGCAAAGCCTGGGGAGTCCCTTGGGCGATTGGCTGCTGCTGAGAGATGACATCATCCAAGTCATGCCATGATATGACTTGGTGTCAAAGTTTGGTATCATGACATGACTTTTTTGTATCAGTGTGGTATTATGATTTTCTTTATTGAACTTTGCCATCGCTGTGTTCACACTTGATCATGGTTGAAGACTGGCGTCAAAGTCTAGAGTCAGTGCCTAAGTCTAAGTTGATAAAATTTGGAACGGCAAACCTTGAATCATCATCAATCATCTGTGTTGGCCCGAAAATGGGGCACCCTTGGAACCAACCTGTCAAGTTGAGTTCTCCAGTTTCTCTGCTCAAAGCGGCCACAGAGCTGCTGCGAAGCCGGCTTCCAGGTGCTTTTCGTGTCTGGAAGCACAAGATCTGGCCCAGAAGGGTGAGAAGTTGCCGCTCGGTGGATTTCTGGGGAGGGGAGCTGTTTTCTTTGTTGAAACTAGGGATGCTTCCCCATCGGTTTGTTTATAAACAACATGAGATGTCCGCTGCTTGCCTGCAAGATGTTCGTTTGCAGCAATTGCAATCGCCTGGAAACATGGTCATCATCGTACTTCAGTAGTCCAGTAGATCGAGGTGTTGCAACACGTGCCAGGACTTGAAGGTGCTAGTCGTTCTGCCAAAGGGCAGCTTGTTTTTCTTTTGGAGGGTTGTCACCAACTTTGAGGAGGTTTTGGTATTTTTGCTATGGAAAGACACGATTTTTAGGGACTTTGTCGATGCCCAAATAATCCCAAATTTCTTACAGAGTACCAGATGACCCATTAGCGACATATAAGTGGAGGTATTTATAAACACTGTGACGGCAGGCAGCATCGACTGTCGCCTGACAGGAGACCTATCAAGACTTTGGCCTCCCCTACTTTCACATCTTGGACTCGGTTTGGGACCTCAGGTGGTGCATCTCTTCAGGTAAAATGCGTCCCATTTCAAATCATTTTGGATTGTCTGAAACTATGGTACCCCAAAACTGTTGTGGTTTATCATATGCCCCTGAACATAGCTTGACTTTGGTGCTTTGTCTTCCGCATTTCCAGACAGAGAAATCATATCAAGATATATTGATGATATATCAAGATGATCTATCCGAATGATATATTCCTATATATTCCATGATATTTATCCAAACTTCTCCGAATGGTGAAATCGCCGTCGCGAGGCGATGCAATGCCGAAACAGCGTGGGCTGTCGCGTCCATGGAGATGTCTCGGTGTCCAAGGCGGCATCGGAATTCCGATGCGCTGCTGCGCGGATGGGTTGGGTGACCCAAAAGGGTTATACAAATAACGTAGCTAGGGGTGTTTAAAAATAACGTAGCTAGGTTTAGCTAAGAATGGTGGTGACTTGGGGATGGCATTTTTGCTCAGGTGGGAGGCAACGTTCACGTGGCCCTTGGCAAATCTACGGCCCAGCCCTTGGTTGGTGCAGGCTCCAAGCTCACAATTGGCTAAAAAACAGGGGAAAATGACCTTCTGTAGATGTTTCAACTGGGATTTGGAAGTTTTCCCAGCATTTTTGGGCACACCCACCTTGTGACAGAGGATGGATCAATTCGGCAAGTCCATCAACTCGGATCAAAGCAGCAACTGCCAAGCTGCTGAAGCTGCTGTCTGGTTTTGCTCACCAGCTTGCAATCTTGACAGATTTCCACAGGTTTCTTCCTTTTGCAGAGCACATGGCACATGGTGTGGATTTTTATTTACCGACATAAAACAGCGCAAGTCTGTGAAAGTTTACACCATCGATGACCTTCTGCTGTCACCACCTGGCTTGCGCTGGCTTCGCCCAGTGCCGCTTGGACCATGTTTTCCATGATAGTGCTGACAGAGTCTGGACTGGATCACATCAAGAAGCACCAGTTACTTGGATCGCAGCCATGTGCCCAGAAAAGGGGTGGGTGTTTTTTTGGATTCCCCAAACCTTTTTTTTATAAAACCCAAACTGATATTTTTTTTAAATCCCAAAGCCTTTTGAGTTACACCCTTTTTCACCCATTGTGACTGGCCCCTTGAACCCAGGTATAAAGCCGGAAAGTACACACCGCTGGACAATTTCTTGAACCCTTACTGGTTGAGCCTCGCCGAGGCGGGTCTCTTGAGTTCAGCAGGTGCTGTTAGTAAATCAATGATAAACCACTCAGATTTTTGATGGTTTATACAGTTTATACCACCCACAAAGGTGGGGAAAATTAGGGATGGTCGTGGATCCCTTAATGCTTTACTAGCCATTAAACCCTTAGTCAAACGTGGCTGGAGCCCGAACTCAATGGAGGTTTTGATGGAAAAATCATCAATAAATGGAGGTTTCAGGGGGAAAATCCAATCAAACATGGAGGTTTTAACATTTTTTAACCATCAATATCCATTAACCAGTATTATCCATTAATATCCATTACCTATCTATAAATGGATTTTTCTTCATTTATAGCCTTGGACCCACATCTTCAACGGCCTTGGTCGCCTTGGTCCAGGCCTTGCCTCGGTGGGTGGCGCCCAATTTAGCATCCTGGCGAAGCTCACGCTTGGGCATATAACCCATATGTAGACATATAGAAAAGGGGATATTGAGATATTGATTTAGAGCATGTTTCACATCATACACGCGTAAGGCGAACATTAAAATGCTTTCATCCCCAACTTGCCGACCCTCCAGTATCCACTGAGAGAGAGAGAGAGAGAGCCTGAAATGCTTCAACTCCGAACTCCTCAGAACCTGTTGGTTTTTTGCTTGCATCATGTGTGGTCAATCTCGAAAAATGTACCAGGCTGCCAAGTCTTGGTTGAATCTCAAGCTCCTTTGTTTTAGCCTTGGGTTCACCAGAGGTGACTTTGGTGGGCTTTCTTCCTTTGGTGATCACCTATGGCCTGTCTTGCTGGGTCTCTCCCAGTTTCGAGACACCTCCGCGCCTTGGCATCTGTCAGATGTTGCCCCACCGGTGATTAGGATCCAATACACCCAACTTTGTGCACTCAAATTCCTGCAGGAAGTTGCGGGCATGGCTCAAAGTGGATTTGTCTGAAGATGTTGTACCCTTTTCATCATTGTTTTCCTTCCAAGGAGACTGCCATCATTTGGTGCCCCATTCCCCCATTCCGCTCCAACGCAGGCCGCGCTGGCTGATGCTGTGCATGACTGCTGCCTTATTTTTCTATCAGACCTTCGATGCCATGGACGGCAAGCAGGTGCCAAGCCCGGTTAAAAAATGCCCAAAACGGGATGTTGGGAAACCAGAGATTCTCTGCAGATTCGGATCTCATCATGAAAAGGCCGGCGAAATCAGGATTTCTGTTTGTGAATCGATGTAAAACATCTTTGTTTTGGCGGGTGAATCGGTGAATTCCAACTCTGTGATGCCTAGACTTGGTTGAAGGGAGGCTTCCAGGGTTTATCCCCGACAATTTGGGAGTAAAACAACATGGTTTCACCTTTAAATTAACCTTCAATCTATGGATTTATGGCAAACAATTGCAAGATTGTTCATCTCTAGATGGTTACAGGTCAAAATTGAGCACAATTTCTGGAGAATTTAGACATGTTTAAGACTCTTGAAGCATGAAGTCTCAAAAAAATTAGAGGGTTGAACATGGTTGAACTATCGAAAATCCCATGAAATAAGCCTCTAACCAACATTAACCAACTATATTCATTGGTCAAATCCTGTTGATGGGTTCTCAGGCAAGGCGCACTGGGAGCTCGTCGCCATTGGGGCAACTCTTTGACCATGGCTGCGACTGTCTAGCGTGCATTGCGCAGGTGGGATGATCCTAGAAATTCAAGGATTGGAAATTCATGGAAATCCTATTTTCATGATGAACCATTTGTTTTTAGTTTTTTTGGATAATCCTATGTTTTTTTTGTTTTTTTGGATAATCCTATGTTTTTTTGATTGAATAAGTAAATTGATAGAGGATGTAAAAATACGGTACCCGCACAAACGTGCTATGTTTTCGCGTCTGTCGGGATGATTGACGTAACCCTCGTTTTTTTTGGTGACCGAGGGACAGTACTTTTGTGGCTTCGTTGTAGTTGAAGGTCTGAGAACAAGATAACTCTAGGTCAGCTGACCTAGAGACGTTACGTGCCGCGGGTAAAAACAGATACTATTGGAATTTTCATGGGATTACTATCCAATTACTATATCATATTTGGATATAGCATTCATGGATAGTATATAACTATATTTCACGATATCGAACAGAATATGATTTGGAAAGAAGAGTGTATTTGGACATAATTATTGGACTCTTGGATTGATATTGGACATATGACATTTTCATTAACAATATGATTATATATATATATACTGAAATGCTGGAGTTCCCTCCAGTGGAAAATGGTGGCGGGGTCTAGGTGGGATACTTCATAGGATATATATATATCTTTAAACCACCTCACCATATACGGTGTATTTATGGAAATTGAAGCATCCAAATGGGATTTTCAGCAACAACAATGGTGCTGTGATGGGAATTGTATGGAATAATTGGGATTATAACTCATGTATAACCATGACCATTTAATGGGATGTTTGACATGTTGACATATTTCATTGAATGGAACATATGTTAGGATAGTATACGTACATTATATGTATTTAAAATGTACTGGACCTGGCAGTAATGACTTATTTCATACTTGATGGGACATAGCCTGTGAAAAAATGAAACGATGTTGGCCAATCTAGGGTTTGTTTGTGGCCATTGAACAATGTGGAAAACACATTTTCTGGACCACTGGACTGGATGGGGTTTCAAGATTTGCGACATCCTAAACCAAACCTAGCTAGAAAAAACCACGAATGATGGGGATGGTACTGACAATTTTGTGGAAATGATGCAGACATGCAGAAAGGGATTAGAAATAGCCTGATGAGGTCAAATTCGCCAAATTAGATCGTTCTTTAAGTTGGCGACATTGACCTTGGTGGCTGCATGGATTAGTTTAGCTTCTGAGCAGTGGTTCATCATCATTTCCCCCAATGAACATGGCCACAACTGCTCATATGCCCCACTTTCAGACACAGCCACTTAGTTTCATATTTTTCTTTTTCTTTGCCTCCTCTATTCAATGGATTGGTTTAAGGGACAAATTACAGGAAACACTTATATTTCATAGGGGAAATCTATGGTTTCCAGATTTTCCCTTCAGCCAATCCATTGATCTATGTGATTTCCAAGCGCTTTGCTGATCTTTGGGCAACTGAAGCAACGCAGAATTCCAAGGATGCTTGTAGGATCAAGACCTTCCATAACAATAGCTCAGTTCAAAATCACAAAAAGGTCAGAATCAACAAATTCATGGCTTCATCTTTTCATGGTACCCTCTGGTAATTTAACATAACTATGGAAAATCACCATGCTATTAATGGGAAAATCCACTATAAATGGCCATTTTCAATAGCTATGTTAAATTACCAGAGGGTACCCATGTTTGGGGATGGTCATGGCTTCATCTTTCCATGGTAACTTCATCCGTTTTTTAAACATCATGGGGATCCCCATGGAATTCCCCGTGGAATCCCCGTCCCTGGCACCGGTAGACCGGCGCCGCTGCGGCGTTGCTGCACTTCGGCCCCACCTTCCTGGGACTTTTCGCCATGTCCATCCTGTCGCGGCTGGGCGGAAAGGGAAGGGGTTGCAACTAAGCCACCAAGGAAGTTGGTTGATTTTTTTTTGGGCTGTTTTTTTTGCAGATTTAGATATTTGACGCATATATTTTAAGGGTTTTTCAGGGATGAAATCAGCAATTTTGGATGGTCGACTCATTTTTTGAAGACAAAAGGGATTAACATTGAGCATAATGAAAATTTGGATCCGTATCTCAAAGCGTGAGCAGATCCTTCCAAAGATTGACATGATTTTTGTCGGACAGATTTGTGGACAAGGGCCAACTCACTTAAACACATTATCACTTTATATCACTTTGCATTAAAGCTTCATTTGCACTTTTTCATCATCATTGTACTTATTCATTTATTTTATGTTCCTGACCAATCACCAAATTACCTAGTGGTGGACGGAAGGAGCGGTTCTCAGCTACTAGTATGGGTGCTCCAATATTTCCCAAGAAAAATTGGAGCCAGTTGGAGCTACAATCAGAGCGTCCCAACCATATACCCTCTGGTAAATTAACATAGCGAACTGGAAAATCACCATTGTTGATGGGAAAATCCACTATTTCTATGGCCATTTTCAATAGCTATGTTAGTCATTACCAGAGGGTAATAGATGATATGATATGATATCAAATCATATCCCTATTGTATCCCGCATCCCCATCATAAATTCCGCCATGATCAGTTTTCATCACCTCGAGGTCGGGTTTTTTCTTGGCGCAATGGGAGGAGTACCACACTGGCACCCTCCCCACCGCCTATGGAGCTGTGTTTCGGATGGCACCGGGCGTAGTTCGGCAGTGGGATCATCGTATGATATCCTCAGGAAATGGGGGACTTACTTGGAGGATCATCCCAAGAAGTCAGTAATCATAGTTATAACCCATTAAAAAAAATGGGATCATGCCATAAAATGGGGACTTTCTAACGGTTCGGGGTTATCAACCAGCTACTGGGATGATCCTCCAAGTAGCAAGGTGACTCAAAAACGAAGGGGCGGCGAAGGGGGGAGGCAACACCATGGGTTTTTCGATCGACCTCAGGCAGTGGAGATTTGCATGTTCCTTCAAGGGTCAAAGCGACACCACCCATTTCTTGTCTTCCCATGCCCAGGTTGGTGTCACGGAGACCCAATATTTCCTGATGTCCCAGACCTTGGGGGCTGCAATCCTGGGACCCCAGGTGCAGTTCCTGGTGGTCAGAGTTTTGGAGTTGGGAACCAGAGTCTTTGAGAATTTCTGATCATTTTATTGTGATTTCTTAGCATTTTATGGTCATTTCTGAGCGTTTTATGGTGATTTCTTGGCATTTTATGGTCATTTCTGAGCGTTTTATGGTGATTTCTTGGCATTTTATTGTCATTTCTGAGCGTTTTATGGTGATTTCTTGGCTTTTTATGGGCATATCTAGTTGAAATATATCGACCCCTGAGCCCCACCATGTATAGCATGTGCAGGTAGGTCTAGTAGAGGTATGCCTTAGCTATGAGTCCATCATACCCAAAGTAGATATCCCCGATATGTACAGTCACAGCACTACCTATGTAGAAGCGTTACATAGGTAGGGTAGCCACTAATTAGAGTAGAGTGTAATCCATCCTAACAATAACCTGGGTGGGTCATTTACACGTCTCCGACGTTCGTGGCTCAAGCGCCTTCTAGAAAAGGTGTTTGCTTGTTTTGTTGATGCGGAGTGTTGGTGAATCGGTTGTTCCCTTTCTTTTGGGGTTCCTGGTTCGTCCCTCCGTTTGTCTGGTTATCAGCCGTAAGGCTTGTTAGTTTAGGGAACCTGAATCACCAACATTTCGATTAGGCCCTAACCTTACTTTCGCACTTTTACTGTTCTTCGTGCATGCCCTCAGAAGGGTCCGGTGAGGTCGCTGACGATTCCGTCGCGACTGAAACTCCAGCGGGTGGAGCTGAGGCGGTCGCATCTGCTGCAGAAGACGTTGAGCAATCAGCTCCGTTGCCTGCCGGATCGATAGCCGAGGCCTCTACCTCCTGGGCGGATCTGTCTGAGGTACAAGCGCCCGTGCCTTTTGGTTTCGACTCCATTGCGACAGACTCTGCAGATCCACAACGATCACTGGTAGAGGTTAAGGAGGAGATCCACGAGGCCGAGAGCATCAGTGCAGTAATCTCAGCAATTGGCTTGCCAGAAGAGGTCGTTGACGATCCCGTCGCGACAGAAGAAACAGGGATTGAAACTTCATTGCAAGATCAGTCATTTTTGGAACCGCCATCTGACTTGGGTAACCCAGCGGAAGCAGCTTTCACGGACATTGATCGAGCAAAAGAAGAAGAAGTAGATCCTCGACAAGATCCTTCAACTCTTTTGGAACAAGCCGACGAGGTTGACACAACAGATTTTGCATATCCAGCTGAAGAAGATCAACAACAGGTTGAATCTGCCGATCTTTTAGGTTTAGGTGACGAGGCGGGTCCGGTAGGAGAAGCATCCGTTGCATCCGAACCACCTGCATCCGTGCCTGAGCCTACGGTCGCTGACACATCCGGTGTCGCGACAGAAGCCAACACTAGTTGCCCCGATCAAATAGTCCCACCACCAACTAGCCCTAATCTTGTTGACCCAGGTGCCGAGCCTATCCAAGTAGGACATTCCCCCGCTAGTTCATCGACAGCCCGCCGACCAAGGGTTCGATCCAGCAGGGGCGGTGCCACAACCAGGTGGCAAGAAGCAAAGCGAGCTTGGTGGAACGACTTCGAGGCATACCAAAATTGGCTTTACCATAACTCTGGTGGGGATATTGTAGGTGGCTTTTGGTTAAGAAAGATTTCTTACGAGTACGCCGACGAAAGCACTCGCTGGTTGATAGCTCTTCATTCAAGACTTGTTGAGGAGTTCCCAACATCACAGTGTTTAGCTTTAGCCTATCAAATCCTCATCCCATACAAAGAGTGGGCACACATCCACGGTTTGGACAGGCGCAGAGGTATTTCACACGGTGAACAAGTGATTAACTCTGGTGAACTACCCCCAAAGAGGATCATCAATCAACGCATCTTAGGGGCAGAGCACCCGCGCCCAGAAGAGTGGGATAGGTATTATAGATACGTAGGCCCACAGCAGCAACCCCATCCAAAAGTGGAAAGGCCTGCTGCCGCAACACCCGTTGCTGGCGCGGCAAGTGGAAGCACAGGTACAACTCCGGTCCAGCAAGGACCCAAGGAGCCTGGGCACCCACCGCCTGGCTGGCAACCATCTTTGCGAAGGCCACCTGAGCCAGCAGTCCCTCCACGTCCAAAGGTTACTGTTTCTGTCCATCCGGTTCCACAAGCCCCAAAGTCAGATTCTCAAGGGGTCGCTGCCTCTGGGCGCGACGTAGCACCAGTCCCAGCTGCTAGCCCTGCTAAGCCACCAGCTAAAGCTAGGCCTAAAGCTCCTGATTCTAGTGCCACAACCCTTGCAGATAGAATTCAAAGTTTGCCACCTCCACCTAGTAATATTCCCCCTAGTCCGCCCGTTCATAAGCAACCACCTTTACCACCACCACCATCTCATCCGCCGCCAACTGCACAGGAGCTCGCTGCCCGCAGTTCCCAACAAGCAGAGGCGCGAGGAGAAGCTGCTCCGGAGGGTCCCAACGATCCACCGCCTGAAGAGGAGCAGTGGGTGGAGGAGGAAGAGGAAGAGGAGCCATTGGAGGAGGACGAAGTGGTTGAAGTTGAGGTTGAGGCCGAAGGTGAACCTGAGTTCCCTGACTTTGCACCAACAGAACGCGGCCGTGAGGTTTCCACGCGCCGTCGTAGGCCTAAAAGAACTAGGTCCAATCCGCCACTGCCTGTCAATCTAGTCCCAAGGGCGACCCGTGAACGCATTGAACTTAATCAAGAACTCTATAGAGCCCGAACCATAACTGGTGTTTCTAGGAGACCTCTTGCTTTAAGACCCCAAGTGCGCGGTTACCCCGAAATTAGAATTGACTCCGCTGGCACCTGGGCTAGGGTCGCTGATCCTCCGATCGCGTACGCGCCGCAGACTTTGCCGTTCATTGTGCCGCACGCCGTGGCACCAGAGCTTGGGGTCAACCCACACGAGCTTCCCGACTCGTTGTGGCGTGATCCTACACTTAGATCCCATCGTACTGTTCTTGGTTCAAGTAATTTAGACCCCAATAGTGTTCATAATCTTGATTCCAATAACCCCGGTACAGAATCTGAGGGCTCTGAAACACCCGAGACTCGAACCGCCAGGTTTGTTTCATCAGGTCAGGCATTTGTCGGCCAGCAACAACCGTTTGACGCTGGCTTTGCTGAGCGCATCCCTGCCCGTCCAATTGAGTCTCCACCGAAGAGACAGCGTCCTAACATAAGAACCTCTCGAATCCAACGTGATAAGCCGGCACAGCCCAGAAAAGATCCAGTTTCTGTTGCACCACCACCTGCAGCCCCAACAGTACCATCTTTGACTGTTCCCCCATTAAGCGGTTCTAGTAGTTCAGCTTATCCCTGGAGGCAATCTTTGCAAAGTGCTGGAACTGGGGTCGCTGACACAGCCCGTGTCGCGACAGAAACTGTATCAGAGCCAGCCGGCTCTCCCGTTGCACGATCCAGGTCAAGAGCACCCTCAGCCGAGACTGCGCCCGCAGTTGCTGCCAGACCAAGGGGAAGGGAAGTACCAATTTCCAATAAGATTTCATCTAAATCTCGCAAAAGAGCTAGTTCCGTTCCTGTGCCAATCCGTGCAAAGGGGGCTGCTGTCCCCGACACGCCCCAAAGGCCAGAACCGTTGCCACCAGCTCCAGAGAAAAAGAAGGATCTGCCTTGGAAACGTCCACCTGTGGACATTGCACCAGCTGCACCTGCAGCACCTGCAACACCTGCGGCACCCGCTGCACCTGTGGTAATTCCCCCAAGACCTAATAGGCCAGTTCCCCCTAATCCAGCTAATCTTAAGCCTGTAAAACCTCCTCCGCCTGGAGTTGGGGGGCCAAGACCTGCTGGTCCATCGTCCCGAGACTTGCCACCACTTGATCCCGCAGGACAACAACAACAACAGCAACAGCAAGAGGCACCAAGCTCAGGCTCTGGCCTTGCACCCCACGTCCGTGGGCGACCTTTGCCTGACCCAACACCAGATCGGCCTGAGGGGGTCGCTGGCTCTGTGCCGCGACATTACCAACACCAACCCAACTTAGTCTCTAAGGTAGTCCACGTTAATACATCCAACGTAGTTGTTTGTATCGACTGGCACGATACCATTGACCAAGCTCTCAACCCCGTTGGTGAATTATCCACCCACTTAGTTGATAAGTTTCGGTCAGTGACTAGGGTTGCTGGTAATCAAATTGAGTTCCACATTGTCTCATACGCCGGCCAATCCAAAGTTGAGAGCACCAAGGCAGGTGCTGAGCACGTGATTAGCCAGCTCATTGCGGAAGGATTGCCGTTTCGAGAAGTGCACCTGGCACGCTATCCTTGCGGTAGGCAGGGCAAATCCTCGATCATCTCCGCTCTTCAGGCACATTGTCTCATCGACGACCGTTCTGACATCCTGAACGAGTGCAGGCAACTCGGCATCAAAACCATCCGTTCAGAGGGGCGTTCAGACTGGGAGCTCTGCTGGATCGCTGAGTTGGAGGATTGGATACGCCTTGAAGGGGTCGCTGCGATCCTGCAAAACCGCCGTCCAATCCCTCTTAGGACCGAACAGTTTTACCCCAATTTTGGGGGCCAGGACGATCGCAACCTGTGGTAGACCCTGGCACAAGCCCAGCGGTTCTACAGCATCCGATAGGCTTTCAACGCCGAGGTAGCTGAGCTTGCTCGCTACGTTCGTCGGTCTGTCCTTGTCGTTTGCCAGGTGTCCATTGTCCAATTGCCTTTTGCCTTTGTTTTTAGTTCAGTGTTGTTTTGCGGTCAGAGCTAGGGTCATTACCGCTAGCGAAGCCGTATTGCATCCGAACTTCAACACAGCCTGAATTAATTTCAATTGCACTTTATTATCTTAATATCCAACTTGCGAAGACTTTGTTGGTTGGGGTAGTATTGTGCTGCATTGGTCTTCCGGCCATCACTGCAAACTTTTGCTTGGAACGCTGAGCAAAGCTCGCGTTGGATCATACCGTTGCAGTTGAGCGCAAAAGTTCAGCCGAGTTTGGGTCAAGATGTCAGGCATTACTCCCCCTTCTGATCATAGTTCATCTAACAGTAGGTCAAGGA